CTCTTTAAAAAAAAAAAAAAAAAAAGCTCTATGCTATTCCTGCTCCACACCTACCAACCCTCACCAAGAGCCAAGAGTGCTGCCTTTACTGCAGGGGGTTAATCCCAGGTTAAAACAAGGGCTACCAAGATGCATCTGTATTCGCTTTGTCCACTGAATCAGGTCTACTTAGGGAGACCCTGTTTTAGGCAGGACTGATGAAGCATGGTCTCTCCCTTCTGAGGAGCTCAGGCTAAAACCCAATGCCTCCCACATGCCAAGCAAACGTTCCACCACTGAGCTACCAACCCCAGCCCCCAAGGCTGACATTTGTTCATTATTTTCAAAACATAAAAAAAAAAAAAAATGAATGTATTTGATGTTTCTGCATAACCCCACTGAGCAATAGTACAGAATAATAAACAGCCTCCCAAGGTGACTACATTGAAAGGGATAACTCTTGAGACATATTTTTTTAATTTATCAACAGACCTTTATTTGTTTGTTTGTTTGTTTGTTTATTTGTATGCAGTGCTGAGATTTGAACCCAGTGCCTCACAAACGCTAGGCATGTGCTCTACCACTGAACTACAACCCCATCCCTGGCGTTAAAGCATGTGGCCATGGCCCTGACCCATGCATAGGGACCCAGGCTGGTGGAACCCTGGCTGGATCAGGGCAGGAGTCTATCCATCCAAGTCATCAAAACACTTTACTCATTCTAACATTTTATAGAAGGCACTAGTGACTGAGAGATAAAAAAAACCAGAAGGTCACAAAATCCAGAGTCAAGACAGGATATGAAAAATGAGGACAATCATGCCAGTCCCACAAACTGATCCTGAGAAAGCAGGAAAGTAAAAATTTGCCTTTTCCCTATGCTTCAAATAGAATTATGGTCCACTGAATGTCACCTACTTGCCCATCCCTCCTAGGGCCTTCTGTACCCACAAAGACGTGGGGTTGGTTTTAATCTCCAACACAAAAAGAGAGAGAGACAGAGACAGACACACCAACCCTGGGGCAAGAGTTCCTAAACTAGACTGAGTAACCCATGAGAACCTGCCTCTGGCTCAAACCTTGCTTTCCCCAGAAAATGCTACAGCTGGTTACCTTGAAAGTGGCGGCCACATTGGTGAAGTTTGCAATGCTGCCTCCTATGATGAGGATCTTGCCTGGGTTTGGAATAAAGACAAAAAATGGTTAGAGAGGTAGACTTGATAACTGTCCCAGAAATCCAACTGAAGGAGTTTTCGCTCGTCTGAGCAAAGATCCCCACTTGTGTGAGGCTATATAAGGGAGCAAGCAAGATGGTCTCTCCTATGCCTAATCAGGCTTCTTTGCCCAACTCTCCATTATCCTCACTACTGGGTGGTGATGGTCATTCAAACCCACAATTCCTACATCATTCCTAGTTGGCACCCAGAAATCCAGTTTGGCTTCTGGATACCTCGGATGAGATGGAAAAGTTAACATCTCTCTCCCTTTGTCCTTCCCTTTCTCATTTAAAGGAAGGGAAATGAGCATGTATAATCCCAAAACTATAGGCACTTGGTAAAGACACACTGGAAATCACACAACCCAGGTGATACATAAGGTCACTAAGAACTGAGTTTATGTCAGGTGCAATGGCACATGCCGGTAATCCCAGCAACTCTGGAGGCTGAGGCAGATGGATCACAAATTCAAAGCAAGACTTAGCAACTTAGTAAAACCTTAAACAACTTAGCGAGATCCTGTCTCAAAATAAAATAAAAAGGAGTGGGATGTGGCTCAATGATTAAGTGCCTCTGGGTTCAATCCCTGGAACAAAAAGAAAGGGAAAAAAAATGAGCTGTTCCCACTAGGTCATCCCAGGAGAATGGGTGAACTGTGTACATGTGCACAGCCAGGCCTTACCATCTGGGTGTTTCTCACGGGTCATGAGGGAAAGGATGGTCTTGGCATAGTCATAGGTCTGCTGCTCACTTGGGGCACCCGAGTATTCTCCATAGTTGGCCAGCTCATTGACACCCCCCAGGTCACAGATGGTATCACTGCCAGGGAGACACAGAAGTCAATGCTGGCTTGGGGCAAAGGAAGGTAGCCTAGTGCCGGAGAGAACACATTGTCTCCACCCTGAAGCACTGAAGTCAGCCTGTGGAACCAACACCAACCCCCAATCCCCACGCAAGTCTCACTTGAAAGGCCAGCTGTGCTCCAGAAGGACTCTCCTGGGCAGTGCACTTTGAGCCCTGGTGCACCAGGGTTCTGGGCAGGCAGTGTGGGTCAACAAACAAGAAGCAACTGCCCAAGATAAAGAAACTGCACATCACAGGAGTCCCCAACAGGCTGCCCAATGGAGAAGACTGTTGCAGTCAGATAAAGGGTACCAACCAGCCAGAAGGGGATGTGGCAGACCACACTTCTAGAAAGAACAGAGATCTACATTTTTAGAGAAAAAAATTGCTGAGTACTGAAAAGAATACAGAATATGATATCAATATTTCTACAAAATAAAAAAGTATAAATATTTACTGCAGCATTAAAATGCTGCAAGGACATAGAGTAACGTATTCAACAAGGTGACTTGGTAGGGAGACAGGCAACTTTCGCTTGCTTATTCATTTTCTGTATTGGTCATACTTGTGCATAGGGCACACATCATTAACCCTAATAATTAAAACTTACGGGGCTGGGGTTGTGGCTCAGTGGTAGAGCACTTGCCTAGCATGGGCAAGGCCCTGGGTTTGATCCTCAGCACCACATAAAAATAGATTAATTAACGATATTGTATCTAACTACAACTAAAAAATAAATATTTTTTGAAAAAAGAATTAAAACTTATAAAAACAGGCCGGGCATGGTGGCCCATGCCTGTAATCCCAGCAACTCGGGAGACTGAGGCAGGAGGCTTGAAAGTTTGAGGCTAGCCTCAGCAACTTAGCAAGACCCTGCCTCAAGACAAAAAATAAAAAGGGCTGGGGGTTTGGCTTGATGGTAAAGCACCAAAGCACACCTGGGTTCAATTTCTTGTACCAAAAAAGAAAACACATCATTCTGAAGCAAATCAGGTTAGAAGAGACACTGTACAGAGGGGCCTTCACCAGAGCCTCTCAAAGCTCTTGAGATATCACTGCGTTTATCTGCCCTGTGAGTTCCTGGTTCACAAAGGTGAGAAACCAGAGACCTACAGGTGACACAGGAGTGGGTACCAGGTACACCAGGCTGACATGTCATCAGTAACCCCCTCCTGTCACCTGTAAACAACAGAGGCGCCACCTCCAGCCACCATGGTCCAGATCCTCCCTTTGGGGTTCAGCAAGGTCAGCTTCAGGCTCGCCCCACTTTTGGCATCCAAGTCTGCAATGTAGGCTTCCTAGGGACCAGAGAGGAAAAGGAAGATAGTTGGGGTGTCCCCTTCATAAGGTCAGAGATTCCAGGACCACTCCCCTTTCCCTGGAGATACATGAAGAGGTCAATCACTTCAATGGGGTAGGGGAAGAAGGGATTGTGAGAGCCACACACGTGAAACAAACATGTTGGTATCTTCAAATACCAAAACCACCCACAGCCACAGTCACCACCTGGAGACAAACTTCTCAACTCCAGAACTTCACTATGTCACTTCATTTTTACCACAACCCCTAAGTGCATGTACCTGCTTGGTACATGGGCCTCTCCTCCCCTCCCAGCGCTCTCTCCTAAGCCCAGCCTGCATGGCTTCAGAAGGCCTGACCCTGCTGGGAGGACTCAGAGGATGGGGTGGGAGACAGCAATTAAAATTCTCAGCTAGAGTGGTGCGAGAACTACTTTCTCTTCTGATGGGATCAGGGGGAGCCACTTGGAATTAAAGAGAAGCAGCAAATCAAGTTAAGAGCCCAGGGAGGTTGATTGAGAATGAAGTCTAAAAGGATTTCTGGCTGGGATTCAGAGGCTTGGCAGACTCCCACCCCCATCCCCTCCCCACTGGGATTTTAAGAAAATTAAATGGTTCTCGATCTTCCTTTTCCTGCCAAATACACAGCCCAGGATGGGGCCCAATGCTCGTCTGAGATTAGTCACTTGCTCCTTGACCCCATAACCCTCCATCTCCTCTTCAAACTCGCCTCACCTCTGGATATGCCTCACGTCCGAAGGGGGGAGGAAACTCTATGTCACCCCATTTCACTTTGCAGATGTAGTCGGCGGTGGCATCCACCTTGGCTGCCAAGTCAAGGACATAGACACCATCCTTGGTCACCACTGCAAGAAAAGGAGAGGGAATCAGACACCAACTCTGGTCCAAACTCTTCCACCAGAGTCTCCCAAACAACCCCTATGGGGTCCCTCAAAGGCCTGGGAACTCCCTAATCACCTGGAGACTCAGCTTTCTCCTATTAAAGGAAAGACAAGTTTTCCAAGACCAGTTCCTAGTCCCTGGCCTTTTGGTATTGGAACAGGGAGGTCTGTACTCATTGCCATGGCAATTTTTAGACATCTTTATAACATGCTATACTCCCTGCTTTAAATATTTAACCTTTTGCCTCCACCCCCATGGCCCTGCCATTAAAAAAAAAAGTGGCAGGGGTATAGCTCAGCAGTAAAGCATTTGCTTAGCAAGCACCAGGTCCTAGATTCCATCCAAAGCACCAAAAAAATACATAAAATAAATTTTAAAATTTAGGAATGAAAACTGAAAATGTGTTCAAAATGCATTATTGTTAGAATACCAGCCCAGGTGTGTAGCTCTGGGATTCCTGGGGTCCTGCTAGGAGGAAGCCTCAATGTAAGGTGGAGTGGGAAGTCATGGGTACACTGAGTCCCCAATCAGCACAATTCACTTACTGCTGCCTTACTGAACATCCATCTTCCTTCCCCTCTAGGGCCATTTAGCTAATTAAATTAGCACATGGCCATCTGGCCCATTAGAGGGACTGCATCCTCAGCTGGAATCTGATTTAATTTTTCAGCCTCCTGGACTTTGCCCTGGGAGGCCCTGGCCAGAAAGAGCCCATGCCACTCTCCCACACCACCTGTCTCCTTCACAGCCAGAAAGGCCTGCAGCAAGCTCTTCCCAGTGTTGGGGTTAATAATTGACCAAGTCCCAGAGAGAGAGAGGTGGAGCCTCCAAGTACACCAAGGGAAAAAAGGCCTGAGGGTCCTACAAGGGCCTAGGAAGCCTAACCCACTGGCAGGAAAAGCAACCCAGCGCAGTCAGATCAGAACCAGGACTTCCCCATCAGAGGACAAATTAAGGCCAAATGAAGAAGTTGGAATCGGCTAAAAGAGGAATGATTGGTTTTCTGAGAGCTCAGAAACAGTAATTGGCCCCAAATGAGCTTGAAAATCTCTCCCCATCTGCATACCAGTGGCTTACAGCCCTCTGGAAAGCAGGCATCTTGCTCTCTGAACACTAAGGCCAGACTTTTTATAGGCACTGGGACCCAGTTATAACTGACCCTTGCCCCACCCCACCCAAGCAGTGTCTGTTACCAAGAGGATTGATCTCCAGGTAGGTGAAGTACAGGTCCTCGTAGAAATTGAAGAGGCCAGAGATGAAACTGGCCAGAATTCTAGAGGGGAGAGGGACAGAGGGACAGTCAACCTATCAACGGGCAAACTCAGCAGGCCCTTGCCCCCAGTCTCCACAACAATCTCTCACTAACACTGACAGCCCCACTTCCTGACACCTGCCCTACCGACCCCTAGCTCTCCTCTGCAAACCCTGCTCCCTGGATGTCACTCTTCAGCCACTGAGGTGGAAAGGAGCTGTCAGACATGGAGCTGGGGGAGGAGGCGCCAGACAGACAGGGGCAGGGAGGTGAGGGATGCTGACAGCACAGTGCAGCGTGACTTGGGCAGCACTCCGCCCCCATACGTGGCGCTCTTCCTCAAGGGCTATGCCTACCACCTGCTCCCAGCCATCCAGACAGGCCCACTCTGCTTCCTCTGGGCCCATCAGTCTCCCCATCCCCACTGCCACCTCCCTACCATCCCAGTGACTCAACTCTTTTTTGTCTTCAGGGGCATGGACCAACAGGTGTTTCTTGATATCCTCAGGATTCAGCCTCTCATCCACACCAACAAGGAGCTTCTGGGCTTTGGCATCCACATCACCCACGTCCACGCCCCCCTCATGATGGAACAAGACATAGTCCCCTTCGCGGGTTGCATAGATGCAGACATAAAACTCCTCCACCTTGTAAATAAAGACAACATAAAGTGGGTGAGTGGCAGAGTTGAATTCATTTCTAAACCCAGCAGAAAATATTCACCCAGAGAAGACCTGTTTATTCTCCTTTGAGGACAAGGAGGAGAACAGAGGCTACTATCTCCCTGGCTGAACCAAGGAGATTCCATCTAGAGGAAGCAGACCTGCCTTTATGTCCCTCATTATCTGCCCTAACTCTGCCCTGCTGCAACTAAGCCCCTTCTGAACTTCCTGCTCAGACTCAGGTCTGTAGTACCCTCCCACCCACAGTTCAGCTCCAGTACCCCTGGTCCTGTTGGCTTTTCTCCTTCGGTTTTACCTCTCCTTTCATTACTTTAAGGTAGACAAATACCTTAAGATGGAATGAACCAGTTTGGAGCTGCCTCACATACCTGACTGTGTGGGACAAAGGGTTCAATCAGAAAGTTCTTGAGGAAGCCTCTGGCCTTGCCAACCTATGGAGAAATTGAGGGAGATGAAGCTTAGAGGGACAGCACACCTTGCTCCCCAGGGAAGGAGGGATCAAGTCCAAGCACTGTAACCATGACACCCAGAAAGGAGATTTTTTCCAGAAGCCAGGGTAAGGGGTCACAGGTTCCCAAGTTCAAGAAGCCCTTGAGATATCTCTTTAACCCCCTTGTCCCAGCCCAGCTGCACCTGGACACACAATGACCTTGCAAGTTTGCTTTGCCCCATCCCAAAAGGCAGAAATCAGGCCTCATCTCCTGCCCTACCACGCCACAAATTAAATAGCTCAGACAAATCAAGGCCATCCCAGAGCTCAAGCAGAGAGATAGGCACGTGTGAAGTATGAAGTGTGAAGGACAGGACGGGGATGAGTATTCTGCTTTGTATGCCTTGTAGGCACAGTGACACAGCCAGAGGACACGAGGCCCAGCAGGGAAGAGAAGAGGCAGAGCTTGATAGGGAAACTTCTCCACAGATTTTACTGAGGGCAACAGGCCTGCAGAGCTAATCAGTCTAAGTGAGTCCCTGGCGGCAGTCAAGGCGAGACAGTGTTCATCCCAGTATGTCCTGAACTCCCCACCCGGACTGTGCGTCATTGCTGAGTCAGGGACCAGACAGTGATCCATCAGAGGTAATGAGCCGCTCCTGCCGGGTGCGATGCTGCTGCCAGCTCAGATGTCCCCAATAGCCCCCTCCCAACAGCCAGCTGAGAAGGGAGCTTGACATGCTCCGTGAGGACACTGTTCAACCATAAGCCCCATCATCTTCTCCCCAGACACCTGGGAACTCAAAGATTAGATGTTTTTGTCACCAGGCCGTGTACAACTTCAAGGATCCCTCTTTATCCATGAGTGTCAGAAATTGAAGTTTAACATTAAGAGCTACTTTGAGGAAGCCCAATAAAGAAAGCATCTCCATTGCTACATTGCTTCCTATTTCCGCCCAAGGAAGAAAAGCTCATCCCTGGTCCACACTTACCCCAGATGATTATCAAGCCCTTCAGAATTGTGTGCAAAGCCAGGTGCAGCAGCATTCCCAGGCTAAGCCAAGCCTCAGTCCCATACCCTCCCTTAGTTGTCCAATCCCTTGAAGAGTAGGAAGAAACATACTTAGTACTAAGCACCCCTTCACCTTCTTAAACCATATTTCACTCTAGCTCTCTCTTCTACACTTGTTGAAATTAATCACTGAGCTGAGAGAAGAATTAAATTTGCTCTTTCAGCATTATTAACAGTCTCATAGAAGAGTTTTGGCCCAGTACATCTCTCTGCCTAAATGATTCTGCATCTCCCATTTCATCTTATCATCTATCCTTTTTGGAAAGCATGTCATCACAAGCAGTTACCATAACCCCTTTGAAACTGGAAAAAAAGCAGTTCCCAGAATGGGCCTCAAAAGTCTTATTTCGTGATCATTGTTAAAGAAACATACCAATTCCAACAGCTCTCCAATTCTATCTTTGCAGTACACCTTGTCTGAATCAGTAACAAAAGGAGTTTAGATTCCCCTATAGGGAAGTTAGAAACAAGCAGCAAGATCGTCCCTGCTGCCCACAGCAGGGCAGCGCCACAAACCCCCACCTCCCCTGGCTGCCTGGACTGGCTGTAGAGGTAAGCCATAGTGGCTGATCTGGATATGATCGTGTTGCTTCTATTACCACAGCACTTCCACCCTGACCCTACACCTGGACTCACCGTGGCCTCATGTCCCAGTCGTGGCTTTAGCCAAGACTTCACTCCATCCAGAGTGAGGTTAACCCCAACTAGGCCAAGCTTTCCACGTCGTTTGATCAGCTGGTCTGGCTTGACTACCAAGCTCTGGAAAGAGAGGAGTGGCATTCAGCATAGGAAGGAGAGGATAACATAAGAAGTTAACAGTTTTAGGGACCCAAAGCACAGGACAATCTGGGTGACTTCTAATTCATCACACTCCAAAAGTTTACTTTTTCGTCTATCAGGGTTAGCTTCCCTCACCTACCCCAGCCTAAACACACATTCTTTTCTCTCTCTCTCTCTCTCTCTCTCTCTCTCAAGTACTGGGGATTGAACCTAGGGGCACTTAACCAAGGAGCCACATGCCCAGCCCTTTTTGTATTTTATTTACAGACAGGGTCTCACTAAGCTGCTTAGGGCCTTACTAAGCTGCTGAAGCTGGCTTTAAACTCAAGATCCTCCTGCCTCAGCCTCCTGAGCCACTGGGATTACAGACATGCACTAACACACTGGGCTAATCTTTTTTGATGACCAGGAGTCTAGAACCATCCATACCTGGGATTGAGCCTAGCAGAGTATGTGCTCAGTAAATACCTGCTGAATGAGTGATTCCCTGCCCTCCCCATGGATATATGAGCTTCTTGATTCAACTGCAAACTCCTCAGAACATGGACTTGGCAGAGCCCTGGTGTGAGCCCTGGTTGAGGTAATAAACCCACCCCTGTCTACTATAAAGTCAAACAGGCAGCACCTAGCTCAGGTGCTAGGAAACTTGCTACCCCTGAGCTGCTTCACAGAGGAAGGAAACACCCACCATGGGTCCTAGTCTTGCTCTCTAGGGCCTGCCAAAGAAGTCTAAGAGCTTCCCAAAGACAGGATCCAAAGACAAGCTCGTATTCAAGACTGAACCCCAGGGTCCTGTAGGCTATTCTTCTCAAAGTACAAGGTCACACTTCCTAATTACCCTCACACATTACTAATATGCTCCACTTGGAGGAAAGAATAACATATGACTACTTCTTACCAAGCATCTACCAAATGCCAGGCAGCACACTAAATGCTTTCTGGATGCTGCTGCTAATCCTTATATCCCAGAGTGTTATCCCTATTTGACAGAGGGAGAACCTGAAATTCAGAGATGTGAAATGGACTGCCTCAGGACAAAATATAATAAATCTCACGAAGAGCTGGGATTTAAACACCAGTTTGTCTAGTTCCAAGCCCATGCCAGGGTACCTCAATATACAGGGCTCTGAGCAAAATAAAGACTCTGCTCAGCCCCCTACAGGGGCTGATGCAGGCAATCAACAATCTATGACCCCTATGGGACATCTCCCACAAATCAATCGCTTTCTCCTCCCAGACTGGGGGCCTGGAAGAAGAGTTCAGTGTGGAAACAGGGCTCACCTGGCTGAGCAGCCAGGGGTGGTCCTGCAGCAGGCGGGCCCAGTCTGTATCAGGGGTGACCCTGGCATACTTGAACCGGTTCTGGATGGCTGAGGTGGTGCAGATGTACTTGTAAAGGAGTTCCTTGCCTGTCTGCTCGGAAATTGCCTTGGCAGACATGGCTGCAGAGGGACCTGCTTTACCTGTTAGGGCGAGAAAAGCAGGTTAGTGGAGATAAGAAAGTAGAGGTACCCGTCTACTCCAGCAGAACAAACCCACTTTCAATTGTCAACCAATAAAACTAAACCTTGGCTTTTCTTAAGAAGGAGGAAAAGGGCTGCCCGAACAGGAGGGAGGGAGAGCTCAAATGGTGACTTCTCCAGCAGAGGACCTAAAAATGATGGGTGATGGAAAATGGTGAGGCAAAATGAAAATCCGCAATGCCCCTGCCCTCAACCTTGCTCTACTGCCTCTAGGCCAAACCAGCTCAGCCACAGCCACATTCATCCTGGAGCAAAGGGCATCTCAAGGGGAGGCCAGGAATAGCAGGGGTTTAATGCAAATCTAAGAGCTGGTCCCACCCAAGGTGGAAGGCAGTGCTGAAACTCACCCTCTGGGTATCTGGACTAAGGAGCACAGTTGGAATTGTGTGAGGCTGACCTAGCTCTCCCTACAGTTCTCATCTCCCCCACCCCCAACTCACCCGTACACACCACCAGGCCCCCAGGCCAGCAAGTTTACTTAACTTCAAGTAGAATCATACTCCCAAGGCCCTGGTTGGGGAGGTGGGAATGGGAGCAGAAAGCCTAGGAAACTGAACTCCCACCCCACCCCTGAGTGCAGAGCACACACAGGGCGGGGAACTGTGACCTTCAGTACATCCCACCCACCCCACTGAGTCATCCAGTGGCTAATTTAGAGCAAAACCCACTAAGCAAAACAGAGGCCTCTCTGGGGACCACCCTGTACTAGTCACTTCCAACTGAGCCAGAGCAGGAAAAAGGCAGAAACCATCCATAGATCCTCAATGTGTAAAGACACTCATCTTAGGGGCTAAGGGTATAAATCAGTGGTAGAGCGCCTTGGACTCCGTCCCCAACACTGAAGGGAAGAAGGAAGGCGAGAAGGAGGGGAACAGGGAGGAACTCACCTTTCAGGAGCCTCAGTGTACACTGAGAGCATAACCTCATTTCTTAGATGAGGAATAAAAGCACAGATGGGTTAAGAGAATTTTCCCAAGAAGCCCAACTAATAAACCTAACTCAAACCCAAATGCTTCTATAGCTAGGTGCCCAGAAAAATCCAGTGGCCTAAGAGGAAAGAGCATTTCTCCAAAGACAAGACCTGTGTATTTGTTCCATGGCTTCAGAGGAGGGTCTGTGATAAAAATTCCGTGACTGCCCCCACCCCCAACATCCTACCAGACACACCCATTTTCCTTTGGATAACTCAAAGAGTCACTTGGGGCGAGAAGGAGATGGGAAAGGGAATCAATCAAATCATACACTCCAAGTGCTTGGCCAGATCAGGACAAGTCACTCCTGACTCCCACAACAGCCCAGAATGGAAGTAGTTGAATTAGCTAGGGGAGAAGAAAGTCAAGAACAAATAAAGGATGGTGGAGTTAAGGAGCTGGCAAGTTTACCCATCCAGGAAGGTTGGTCTCCCTTCCTAGGTCAGGGAAGACCAGAACTCCAGGGCAACCCCAAATGGCCACCAAGAGATCGGTGGGGCTTTAGATTCTAACCCTAACTTGGCTATCTCCCTCTGCTCTCAGCTAGCCTCCAGCTGAGCACAACACGAGTATTCAGTTTAGTGTCAGGCCCAAAGTCTGAAAGCTGGGAAGGAGCTCAGAGACCTTCCTGATTCTGATCTTGCCCCTGCAATGGCTTGTGATTCCTTCTCAGTGAGGTTCTGAAGGAGACACCCCAACCAGTCCCACTATACCATGTTTTCCACCCCCAGCCACTTCAGCTCCATTTCCCAACCTTCTTGACTCAGACCAGAAAAACTGGTCCTGAAATCAAATGGGTACACCCCCTTCCTCTCCCAAACAGAGTGTAATCCAAGGCAAATCAAGCAGAAAGAGTAGTGGGCAGCAGGAGACCACCTTCAGCAGTGCAGACACCTGCAGGAGTGATCACAAACTCCAAAGAAAGCCCCAGCCAAGCCTCTCCAGAAGAGTGAAGTACAACAGCCACTAAGTCTGGCACTCCCAGAGCAGACACAAAAACCAACTGTGGAAAAGACAAGGGAAAGAAAAGCAACCCTTGGCAGCTGGGGATGGGGTGGGGGGAGGATCGCAATTTTCTAGATGCCCAGATCAAATCTCAGATTCAAGAGCCCACCTCCACATGGTCTTTGGAAAGTGGGAGAGACACAGTAGGAGGATATAAGATAGAAAAGATTTGCCAGTTGACCAAAACAAGATTTGCAGCAAGAGCACTCTGGCTCAGATGGGAAGACTGAGACAAAGAATTTATAGAATAACAGGAAGGAGTCTGGTCTCTGCATATTCACTAATGTTGGGTGAGGGGCAACTGGCTCACAAACCCAGAGAGGGGACTTGGAGAGAAATCAAACCATTATTTGCTCAGTGGTGTTACTACCACTGAACTATACATCCTTATCCCTTTTTTTGAGACGGGGTCTTGCTAAATTGCTCAGACTGGCCTTCAACTTGTAGTCCTGCCTGCCTTAGCCTACCCTGTCCCTGGGATTAAAGGCATGCACCACCGCACCCAGCTGGGCAGTGGCTCTTAAGCTTTGAGGTCTCATGCTCTTTGATAATCTGAAGAAAGTCCAAAAAAGGATGCACAAACCCAACTATGCATATTATTTTAAGGTGCTCACCTGTGACTATGGTTTGATGGCCTCCAGACCAACCACCAGTTAAGAACTTTTGCTCCTAGTGACAATGGGACAAAGTGTATACCAATCTTTGTATGGGGAACTCCCCCAAAAAAATCTAAGGCCGCTTCTCCCAGTAGCTGAATGTGCTGTCAAACTTGGGACAGATGGTTTCAGGGCAGACCTCATACCCCAGGAACTATCCTAGTAACAGGTAAATGTATAAACTATTTGGGAGAAAACAAACAAACAAACTGAAAACTCACACATATATATTCTAAGAGAGGGACCTTATAAGCTGAATGGGGTATTTTCTGCAGACACAGTGACTCTCAGCAGCTATGAGCAGAGGCTACCCGCAGCGAAGGCTGAATGAAAGGAGCCTGTTCCCCAGGAAGGTATCTCTGGGACACTGCCAGCAGAGAAAAAAAAAAATCATTGGGGATGCTACACAGGATCTCTCTCTGGGAAAGGCATAAAGTTTTTGTTTGTTTGCTTGTTTGTTTTTGAGAGAACATGCAATTTCTGGAGTGAAGGAAAGGGGCAGAATTCTTTTTGAGTATTCCCTGTTGCAGCAAGCATCAAATGGGGATGGAGACCAATTTCACCACCCATCAAGATGTTCAAGAAGCTAAGAGGTGAAAATTACCCCTCTGGGCAGCTGGAATTTACCAGCTCTTCCTCATCCAACATTTCAGAAATCCTAGGAGCTGAGCAGTGTGAGACACAGCAAAATTAAAAGAGTAGAGATAAGAAGTGAAATGAATTGGCAGACCAAACTGTATTATGCACTCCTCCTTTCCACCCCTTCCAAAATCCTCTTCTCAGGCAGACCCCTATCGACCCCCTAATGGCAGAACTCCTTGGTTCTGCCAAGGCTGGAGATGTCAGCAGGCGCTGGGGCTGGCCCTCTGCCAGGCTGGACAGGAGGGAGGCGGCAGCATCCTCCGCCCGCCACCCCGAAGACCTTGCCTCTAGTCCAGACTCCGGGACAGATCAGGGGTGGGGAGAAGCAATGACACCCCCACCCCCGCCATCTGTCATTTAGGGGCTGGGCCCGACTGCAGCTCTTCCAGCACTTCCTCGCGGCGCGGCAAGGCCTCGGGCGCCCTGGATCACCCCGGCCCGCGTGGCCCGGCCCGCTCCCTCCACTTCGGCGTGGAGCGTAATCAATTCTCCACAGAACTGAGAGAACAGGCCTGAGTCTGGCTTGCGAGGGGTCTGAGCGGGGCGAGTCGCCACCGCTTTTTCTACTTCCCGCTCCGGCATCCGGTGAGGGACATGGATGGGAGGCAAAAGTTGGCCCGAAAAAGCCGGAGGAGGCTCCACAGCTGCCGCCGGGTGGAGCAGAGGGGCGCCAGGACGCGGCAAAGGCGTGGAGGGAAGGGAAAAAAAGCTAGGTCGGCGGCAAGCCCTGTGCAAACTCCCAGGAACTGGAATCGAGGGGGGAGGGCCGACACGAGGTCACTAGCCGGGGTCCCGAACGAAGGCTAACCTAAAGCTAAGCCCCCCAAAACTTCCAAGCAGGTGCAGGAAGGGCACGTGAGCACCAAGCCAGTGTCGGGGGAGGCGGTTCCGGGTTGGGGGAGGGAAGCAGGAAGCTCCCGGGGGAGTGGTGGTCTCATCCGCAAAAACCGCCGCTGCACTCACCTCCCCGCGAAAGTCCGAGCGCGGCGCTCCCTCCACAGGCCCAGGCTCACCCCACTACCCCGAGCGCTCCAGCCGCCGGTAGCCTCCCGGGATCCGGCTTTTGTCCCGGCCCAGGCGGGCTTCTCCCCGCCCCCATCGGCTCACGGCGGGAACGGCCCCACGATTGGCCACACGCGTTCCCTAGCCTGAGCGCCAGGGCTCCTCCCAATTCGCTGCCGTGGTGGCCCCGCCCCTGGGGCAGGATCCAGAGGCTTCTGGGACTTGTAGTCCTACAAACTTCTCCGCCCTAGGCGGCCGCCGGGCACCGCCTCCCAGGAGCTGGCGGGACCGGGGCGGAGACCGAGGCGGGGCCTCGGGTGGGGAGATGGGCCGGACTACGAGCAGAGCAGAACGTTCGCGGCTGGGGGCCGTGGCCTGATCGTTTCAGGGGATGGGCCGACAGCCGCTGGGGTCGGGTAGTTGAGGGCGGGAGTTGTTGGCTCAAATAGCCGTAGCCCTTCTTTCGGGAGGTGGAGTCCCCTCTCTGCGAGAAAGTGTCGTCCTCATCCCAGCCGCCTATAATGGACCACACCGAACCCAGGGTCTTACAAGCAGCCACGGCAGGCTGCGTTCCCCTCGCACGTGGCGCCTCGCTCCAGCTTGGATCCACTTCATTGAGCGGGGGGGGGGGGGGGGCGAGG